GAAAAAAAAAATTGAAAGAACAAAAAAAAGGGAGGAGACGAAATGCAACTTACAATTGACATTGACGATATAACTACATAGAATTAATCAATCACAATTTTTCTAATTGGACTTGGAAGATTTTTGTGTTTTGGAGTTTTCACTTATTGGAGGTGTGAGTCACGTGGGAAGGGTCATCGCACATGGAGGTTCAACTGTACCTGTAGTAAGCAACAAACAATCTCAACTTTGAATGGAGGGAATGGGGGTAGAGGCAATCAATGCTAAATCACTGGGATGGAGATCAGTTTTGTAATAACACATGATCTGACAGTTGCCATTCAATGGTGCTTAAATATCGTAGATACTAGGACCTGGTTCAGCAACTCCTTCCATCTTGATGAGATCAGCTGATTCATCAGGCAAATCATTTGTTCAGGTAAGATTATTTCACACCCCAATACCATGGAGAAAATTTTTTTTCTCCGGTGAAAATGAATTTTCAGGCTCAGAAAAAATTGTATATTTCTGCATCAATAGGACAACTGACATGTGTTGACCCTTAGCTTAATTTTAAAAATGCACTTTATTTGCAATGATTGTCAATAATTTATTTAGCACTTAAGTGCACTGGAGATGGGACCACAATTATTTTAAGTGGTCTTCTGAGCTATGCAAAGTTCTATCCCTTATAATAATTACCAGTAATATGAACATCAATAGTTATTATTACTATCAAACTTTCCCTGGCTTATATATTTTTCTCATGGACAGATCATACAAGGTGTACGTATCAAATCATTTATAAGTGATGGTGCTTGTAACCATATATAATAGTCTGTTATTTTAAATAAATGCATTGAATTACAATCATTTCATTTGTAAGTATTACTTTACTCATTCATGTTGAGCCACACATTTCACTTTTCAGGTAGATAACTTTATTGACTGCAAAGATGATGCAAGTGATGATGAGGAAGAGGATTCAAAGATGCATGACCATGGTCTTTTAGAAGATGAATTATTTTATTCATCTAGTTATTCTCCTTCATTATCATCATTATGCCCAGCTAGCACGTCAAAAAGTGAAATAACAACAGATCAAACCAGACATCAGAAGAAAAAGTTAACAGCTGATCTAGATGATGAAAGCCTTGAATCCAAAAACATCTTTTATCTGTCTGGTAATTATTAAGCTATTATTAATTATTTAAAATATCTATTTAAATGTTGGTCAATGGCTAGATTGTAAAACTCTTATCTCATTTAGCGGACTTACATGGGTCGTATAAATGATATAATACTAAGGGGACATGAAATTTCTCGGTCGTGCAGATTGAGCCTTCATTATGATTGGCTTTTTTGGTTTCATCTCAGGAATTTCAATGTCCCTTTCTGTGGTTATATCAGTTATTTTATTTTGAACCTTAAATTACATTGCTTTAAGTTTGTAAACTAATAATATTAATATGTGAAACCCAAAGCAGTCTTTTAAGGAATCCTTACAAGTGTAGTTCTCGCTCTAAAAAGACCCCAAATTTCTATGAAAACAACGTTCTTACTATTTTATTGGTTATCGGCACACTGCACAAGCTCAAAGACTTAGCCAAACTTTCATTTTAATACTATTTTATACTAGTCAAGAATAAGGTTAAAAGCTTCCCATCACTCCGTTGTTGCATTATGTTGTGTATTTTGTTTTGGTAGAGGGTGTATCAAACCTTCCAGGGGAGGTTGAGGACCAGGAAACAGCTGATGAAGAAGGTAAATTGGAGTTGTGACATGAAATTACGTTATTTTTAAGGTGTGCAAAAGGATTAATATTTATTACCAGGGCTTCTTAACTTATCATAAGATCTTTTAAATACCTATAATAATTTGTAGTTGGCATATAAATTATGTGTGTGGGTACGTGGAGTCTTTTGTGTGCATAGGCAATCTGACAGGGCCCAGTTGTTTGAAGGCTGATTAGCCCTTAACCCGGGGTTAAATTTAACCCGGGTTTCATTTTCTGGTGTTCTAAAGCATTTTCTCAGATAATTTTCTCTGTTATTTTTAGAGCTTCCAATCGTCAACTTGTACACAAAAAGAATTAAAACTGAAATGCTTTTGAAGCTTTCAAATCTGAATTCAAATCTCGCACTAACCCTAGGTTATCTTAACCCAGCTTTGAACAACTCGGCCCAGGTGTTTAAGCGTCTAGCCTAAGACAAAGAATAATATGGGGAAGAGGAGTACCTGTGTGATGACTTCAGTATGAACACTTCTGATTAAACTTACATGACAGATTGTATTTTGACATGACTATAATCTTCCAAATAGAGAGAAGTGTGATGCAACGTTACCATGGTAGCAAAATTTCTGGATCATAACAATAGGGAATTTTTGCAATGATAAACAGCAAAAAAACAATAGGTTTAGATTGGCAAAAAAAAACAACTTCGCACATACGTCATGTTTTTAATTTGTACATTTCTTAGCTGAATTTGACCCAGAAAATTTTGCCAACATTTGACAAAGTAAATAAAATTAAATAAGATCGATGAAGTTTGAAACAGTGCGAATCCACTTTTCAGGGTCGGCCAGGGTTTTTGGGTATATGGGATACAGGGGCTTTTTAAATCGGGTATACGGTATATTGCAGCTTAAACACGGGTATTCGGTATATCACTTTCTTTGAATTTCAGGTATAAAGTATACCTGGGTATAATTTTGGGTTTATTTGGATGAATTTTGGGTATTTTGGGGTATTTTGGCGAATTTTTTTCGGGTATACTGGTATATGACTACCCCCCCCCCCAACTTTTTAAGTGACATTTTGGTTTGTGTCATTTAGAAATTTTGCTACCATGACAACGTGACATCACGACTTCCTCTCTATTGGGTAGTGGTAAAGTGGGTGTCTTGTTTTACATACATGTACCTTATCAAACCCAATCAACAGTTGTGTGTGTTGGTCCTTCTATATCCTGTTATAGATATTTCCATTTCTATTCAGATAGTGGATTAAAGGAATCTATGGAGCCAAACATAAGACAACTGCAGATCTCCACAAGACTAAAGGGGGACAATCTGATAAGTGAACACATCCTCAATGTGGTATGTGCCGCACTCTATTTCCTTCTCAGTCTGCCCATGTAAGCCCTTGTATGGCACTGTTATCACTCATGAGAAAATTAATAGAACTGTACAGTACCGCAAATGATCCCCAACCGCAAATGATCCCAAGACCGCAAATGATCCCCTGTACTGAGTACTTTTTACCCTTTTAGTAGACTGCAAGTAGTTGTCCTTTTCTCAGAGCCAATGCAGCAAATTGTGCAAGTTAATGGTAAAAAGGAGGAGAGATTGGGGCAGAGAGAGGAAAAAGGACTTCTTTGCTTTCTTCTCTCAGGCTCCACCCTCATTTCTTCACCCCTCCTGAGTGTTCACATTCTACCATGTCTCAAAAAAAAAAATTAAGAGACTGCTTGCAGTCTATTTAGTAACATAGTCTATTGATTTGGGTGTTTGGGAAGGGGTGGGGCTCTCTCTTTGTGGGTTGAAATAATATTCACTTAATCCACTGCTTTGCTTGATATTGCACTTGTTTCGAGTCTAAGTTTTAACCTGATGCAATGGGGGTCCAAGCATTATTTTGCTGCCACTGTAGTTCTCTGAGCCAAAAGAGAGAAAAATGCTTTGATGTTTGATTTCCTAAAATCCCCCACTCTAATTATGCTTTCTTCGTCTTAACACCACAGGGAAGTGAAGGTACAGATGAAGTGCAACCATTTACACTCGATACAGAATTTGATTATGATAATGTTGCCTTGACACCCAAGTTCAGAATGGTACCTGGCAAGCAATTCATGACCATCAATCACAGAGACTGAAAGAAGGCATTGGATGGAAGTACTTCCCAAAAAAGGGGTCATTCGTATTTTATTAACCTGTTCACTGCAAGAAAAAGCAAACTTAGAAATGAAGAAAAAAATAACTTATTTCCCTTTGTAAATATACTTGAAGAAATACTGCAGAAGAGGTTTCATTTCAATGACCTCACCCACAGAAAGGAGAGTGTCCATATTGTAGAGGTGTCTGCTTTATAGAGTCAAACATTATGCCTGAACAACATCATGGATTAACTCTGGATGTCTGCCTACAGAGTTGTCTCTTGTAATAATTTTACCACCTTCAAGAGTGAAAGCGTTAAGGAAATTAGCCATGTGGAATTCCTGTTTGGGTGGTGCTTCATGTAAATCCAACTTTTGCAATATGGTTTGTTCTGATGCAATGCAGATGCAATGCAGCTTCTTGTAAACTTGCATACACTGTACATGCAGCTCATGCAAAGAACTCTAACATACTGAAAAAGTCAGGTTTACATGAAGCACCTACCAAAGAACATTATGATGTTTTCAATAATGTTTTATTTTAGATATTGTTGCCACCAAACACTGTATATATACACATACATGAAATGAATTAGACTGCTGGATTAAAATGTTGAAAACAATGGTTATATTAATGAGTGCTTGTATGGTTAATCAGCTTGTGATTCTCTTGGATTAGGTACCACCTTATACACGCTGTTTCCTCCCAAGACTGAGCAGGCAACAGTGCAAAAGCTTTGACATCAAAGGAGAACAATGTGGCCTTACTCATGAATGTTTCCCTGAGGATTACTTTCATTAATTTGTACAATCCAATTTCTTTTTGGGCTTTAAGCAAATCACTTAATGACTGATCTCTTGAGAAACTACTTCCCGCAAATGTTAATGATGAACTCTTCCCATCAACGGGATGGTTGGGAAAGGACAGTGTAGGGCATTATAATGACAGCGCATGTGCATGATGAGTATGTGGCAATGTGAATGGAACCTTTTGTGGCGTTCAGAAAATATCACAATGAAGTTACAGCAGGCTTTGCCAAGAGAGAAGGATACGTTGTAATAAAACTAGAAGCCTGTTCATTGTTTTCTTGCACTTTGGACTAATATGATTATCAACAGTTACTCAGTACACAAGCTTATTCAAAG